ACCACATTGAACCTTTGAACGAAGGTATGAACTGTTTAATCTATGGGTAAAATACAGATCATCTATATTTTCCATATCACTTGATGTTGTTGATCGTTGTGGATCGTTGGAGATCGTTTTTAACAAAAGTAAACAAAGGTTTTCCAAGATTTAATCACTGTGTGATGTTAAAGTTTGCTTTACTTAAGCTTTGCAATATATTTATCCCAAGAAGAAACGATCCAGAAACGATCCAGAAACGATCCAGAAACGATCTAGAAACGATCCAGAAACGATTCAGAAACGATTGTTCTCATACGTTCGTTTTCCCAGGAAACATTTTTACCGACTTTATGTGCCGATGGCGGGTAAATAATTCTAGACTTTATATGTTCGGTTTGTCGGAGACTAAATGTTTGCAGGGGTTGCTTTGTTTTATAGGTCGTTTTTAGCATTTTTCTTCTGCCAGGGCTTGACATCTTAGAAAAAAAATGTTAAGAATAAAAATTTAGAAATTTGTTCTTTTTCTACCCTCAAAGAAAATAAGGCAAATCACTTCAAAATCACTGCCAAATCATTGCCAAATCACTGCCAAATCATTGCCAAATCACTGCCTGTAATATAACCTATTTCACACAACTACCTTTAATTAAGTTTTTTTTAAAGGTTGAAAACCTTCCAAAATATATTTAAAATATATTCGAAATGTGTTACTTTTCTCAGCGCTATCAGGTTTTCTTTCAAAAACTGATTCATCATCAAAAATAAAAGACGGATATTCCCCCTTTCAAATTTCAGTCTACAAGTTGGTTTTCAGTGAAAACGAGGGAATATAGTGTCTGATTTTAAATCTTCTAATGTCACACAGCGAATAATTTTTTTTGATTTGCATGAAAAACTTTATTTTTAAAAGAAGCAATTTTGTAACTGTAACCTTCCCCCTTCCCTTTTACAAATGTACAGTGATAACCATGAAACTCTGGAATCGGAATTGATGACTTTTAGACTCAAGTTATGTTTTAAATAGTCCATTAAACATATTAGACACATCAATTGTTGTGCAGTATAAACATATGCAGTGTAAACATGCATATTAGTTGTGCAGTGTAAACATACCCAGTTCAGATAAATTACTAGTAAAACTAGATATTTGCTTTGTAACACCATAAAATATACTCAATTATTGCCTAAATGTCGTCTTCCTTTTCCAGTTTTCTAGTTCTTACTGTACATAAAACTAAAAATACCACTTCTACAGCTGCGCTACTTTTTCTATGATAAAATTATGATAATATTATTTCTACAATATTGCTTTCATCTTCCAGAACTTCCTCTTCTTACAGTATTAAAGAACAACAAAAAATGTTGCAGAATATTCAAAATAAAGAGTTACATTTTCAAAATTTTTAAACTTTGAACTGTTTAAGATTTGGCCTGAATATGCCACTTATACTTTTTTGTAATCTTGGATATGAGGATTTCAAAGTTGCAAAAGTGATTGTTTCATGCTTTAGTTTAAAAGGAGTATTTGTCCAAAGGAATTGAGTTTTTGCCACAAACTCAAATTTTCTAATACCTGTATTTTCGCAACCTGATGATGTAAAATTTTGATATTTCAAACTTAGCTTATTTGAGCCTAAAGCATTCATAGTTTGAAATATCTAATGTCTACGACAATGGGTTGTTAAGATATAGGGAACAGAAAATCAAAGTTTGTGGCAAAAACTCAATTCCTTAGTCAAAATGTAATTATTTAGAAAATTTGCAAAATTTCACCTATAAATTCAGAACATATGGCTTCTAGGATATCATGCATAAATGCAGTGATAACCAGAAAACTGTAGAATAGGAAGACGACATTATTGAAATACTGATGTGCATTTGATGTTGTTACAAAAAAGATAGTTATTAAATCATTAATTAAGTGAGTTTACAATTGCTGTCGGTTAACAATTGCTGTAAGTTAACAATTGCTGTAAGTTAACAATTGCTGTAAGTTAGCAATTGCTGTAAGTTAACAATTGCTGTAAGTGAACAATTGCTGCAAGTTAGCAATTGCTGTAAGTTAAAAATTGCTGTAAGTTAACAATTGCTGTAAGTTAACAATTGCTGTAAGTTAACAATTGCTGTAAGTTAACAACTGCTGTAAGTTATCAATTGCTGTAAGTTAACAATTGCTGTAAGTTAACAATTGCTGTAAGTTAACAATTGCTGTAAGATAACAATTGCTGTGCCTCATGTTCATTGAACTATTTAAAGTCATATCTTGAGTCTAAAAGTCGACTTTCTATTCCAGAGTTTTCTGGTTATCACTGTATTAAGTACACTTTAAAGGTGCACATACAGTCCAATTACCTTGCAAGTACTACTTTATATCTCCTTCGAACAAAACTAGCAGAAAAAAATTAATTTTTATGTTCTTCACTCTTTTTAACAATGAAAAACCAACCTTAAACTTAAATTCCATGAGATAAAAAAAGTTCTAGAAAATAATTATGATTTGTAAAATTTGTTTGCTTTGTGATCTTTTATTGAAGAACATCTAACTAAAAGGGAACATAAGGTTATAACAGCACTCATTTTTTCTTTGGTCTTCATTCTTTCGTTTAAGATTTGCTGAGTTCTCTAGGAGGGGGGGGGGGCACTGCCCCCTTGCCCTCTCCCCTATATACACCCTTATGTAGAAGACATTAACTGTTGAATATTTATTTGATACTAGATCGTTTGGAATCTTTACAAACTTTACTAAATAAGCTATATAGGAGATGTCGGAATAATTTATCTTTATTAATTTGAAATGAACTGCACGGAATCTACAGTAACTACCAGAAAACTGAAGAATATGAAGACGACATGAAAGCAATACTGAAGTTTATTTGATTTTGTTACAAACCAAACTGATTTACTAGTACAATATTAAATTTATTATTGAGTGAAATGGGTCTGTTTACACTGCACAATTGATGTACTCATTGCACTATTCAAAGTCATACCTTGAGTCTAAAAGTCGATTTCATATTCCAGAGTTTTCTGGTTATCACTGAAATCTTTAATGGGAGGGAATACCAACATATTTCTGTGTCAAAACCAAAATGATTAAACTTTGAAACCAGTTTAGATTTAATACGAGTTAAAGGAACTGTAGGCGTAGTGTAATTTAATTTAAATAAAACAATCCTGTAAAAAATGGCATGTTCATTATCCGACTTACAGTAATACCCAATTTAAAATTCTATCTGAGTAAAAATAAGTTAGATGTCGTTGTTGTTCTATCTTTTTTTAATAATTTTTTGAATTTTTACAAAATTGTTTAAATCATCAGATGATAACAGCTGCCGGTTATTTGAAATCTCTGTAACGTTTTTAAATCTAAAAACGCTTGGAGTTCGGTTTCATTGTTCTGGAGTATAAATCCTCAAGTCACTTATAGTCTTATAGAAACAATTTATAATGAAATCAATTTTCAGATGGATAAATAAGGATATCTCATTTAACCTTGATATGCCATTTAAAATTAACCCTTAATGTTAAACCTGTGCAGTGCCCATGATTGGGGAATTTGTTTATTTTTTCATTTCAAAAAATCCCAATTGTCTAAAAAAAATCCCAATTGTATGCTTCAATAGTTTTCTTTCAATACACTTTTTACTCCATTACAAAAAAAAACACACAAAAAATGAAATCGATTGGTTTATCGATCGATTTGATTTTTGATATTGGATGATATTTTTTACAAATTAAGTAAAGCAAACTTTTATAAAATTCAAATTTAAAATTTGATCTCAGATTCTTGTATACAGGGATAACCAGAGAACTCTGAAATGGGAAGACCACTTTTAGTTTGAAGTTTTGACTTCAAATAGTCCAATTTGCTTTGTAACAACATCAAATACACTGAAGTATTGCTATAAAGTCGTCCTCCAATTTTGGAGTTTTCTAGTTATCACTGTAGTCTCTTTAAAGTAAACCTTGAATATTCAAAAACGTAGAAAAACAAACTAATTCTAACAGATTTTTTGCTGCCCTTAAACAAGAAATATCATGAAAAGTTACAGTTTAGTGAAACAAATCTAAAATAACGTTTCTGTCTGTGTGTTTGGTTGTTTGAATGTCCGATCATAACTCATGAACCCTAGACCAATTTGCCTCAAATTTTGAGTTGGGAACTNCCAACCCCCTCCTGACCTACTCCCAACCTTTTTCCTTTCCGTAGTCCATACCCCTCTCTACTCCGAGCCTACTTCCAACTTATTCCCAATCTACTCCGAGCCTACTTCCAACTTATTCCCAATCTACTCCGATCATACTTCCAACGTATTCCCAATCAACTCCGAGCCTACTTCCAACCTATTCCAAATCTACTCCGAGCCTACTTCCAACTTATTCCCAATCTACTCCGAGCCTACTTCCAAACTATACCTAATCTACTCCGTGCCTACTTCCAACTTTTCCCAATCTACTCCGAGCCTACTTCCAACGTATTCCCAATCTACTCCGAGCCTACTTCCAAAGTATTCCCAATCTACTCCGAGCCTACTTCCAACGTATTCCCAATCTACTCCGAGCCTACTCCCCCCAAACCGAAGTAAAAAGTGTTTTCCTGAACTGTTTGTCTTCCAATGCATCAATTACAAACATTTCTTGAAGAAATCTTCTCTCTTCAAGAAATCTTTTCCATAGCAAGAAATCTTCTCTCCGCAAGAAATCTTCTTTCTTCAAGAAATTTCTCTCCTCAAGAAATCTTCTACCTAAAAGAGATCTTAACTCTCTTCAAGAAATATTCTCTCCTCAAGAAATCTTCTCTCTTCAAGAAATCTTCGCTTTTTAAGAAATCTTATAGCTAAAAGAAAATCTATCTTTCAGAAATCTTCTCTCTTCAAGATATCTTCTCTCTTCAAGAAATCCTATTCAAGAATGAATGACTTATAATGATTTTTGTGCGAAACATAATAACTCTATAGTTCCTTAAACACGGGTTACAAGACACTTGTTACAGAAGTTACAGTGATATTATTTCAGAATTAAAAATGTTGCTTGTAGGCCTCTACAGTCTTTTAAGTTTAGGACTTGTTCATGGAATTAGGCAAATAGATAAATATATAGATAGATAGATAGATAGATAGATAGATACTACATTCATCANCTTATATAATTTAAGTTTTATTTATATCCAGAAATAGGTTGTCTTAATATTTCTTTTGATATTTAGTGATGCAAAATATTTTGAATTAAGACCCAGTGATACGATGATAATTTCAACAATAGCAATTACAATAACTTAATCTTTCATGTTAATTGTACACTGCACTGTACAGAGTACATGGCACTGCATTGTACAGTGTACAGGGCACTGAATTGTACAGTGTACAGGGCACTGCATTGTACAGTGAACAGGCACTTCACTGTACAGTACAGGGCGCTGCATTGTACAGTGCACAGGGCACTGCATTGTACAGTGTACAGGACACTACACTTTACAGTGCAGGACGCTGTATTGTACAGTGCACAGGACACTACACTGTACAGTGCAGGACGCTGCATTGCACAATGTACAGGACACTGCATTGTACAACACAGGGCGCTGCATTTTACAGTGTACAGGGCTAAATTAAAGGGACAAAAGACGTAATTTCAAGTGAACATATAATTAAAGAGTCTGTCTAATTCATAACGCTACCCTTTAAAGCTCTACCCGTGTAGAAAGAAGATGCATCTTACGTTCTGCAAATACTGACTTTTACAGAAAAACCAAAATTGAAATTAACCAATTTTGCAGATCATGGATATCTCATTCATCAAAAGATTTAAGGGTACAGTTGTGAATCGGCCATGGCACTTTATAGATTAATATTTACTTGAAATGTCGTCTATTAGCCGCTTTAAGACGATTTCATTTTTTTAGTCCTTTTTATTCTATTCATGATTTATTGCAACTTAACCATTTTTAAACTTTATTTGTACAAGATTACGTTTATTGCAGAGATGTTGTTATTTTCATGTTTAAGAGAACATATTTTAATGAATGAAAGACTTAAAAACTTAATGTCCAAAAACTTAATATAATCTATTAACAAAATAGTTTGTTTTCCTTTCCTAGAATCCTGTATTAATTAAATATTTTGGTATATTTTATAAATCCTTTAATTTAAAAGTTTACATTGTGGATATCGAGTTTGGTCGATGGCCAAGCAAAACTTTTAGTCTCAAGATATTTTCCAAAAAGAATAAAAAACGCCAATTTTTCTATCAATTTATCTATTTTGTTACAGGGATATTCAGAAGAACAAAGTCTGTGTATTAGATTCCGACTGCAGGCAACATGTTTATAATATTAATATTTACAGGGTTACCCACAAAGGATGAAACAGTAAAGACGACCTGAAACTCTTTAAATCCGACGATTACAGCATTAAGTGGTATGCCTTGAATATAGCTTTTTTGCTTATTAAATGATTTAGCAACGAAAGAAGCAAGTTTACAGTTGCAGGGAATCATCCATGGTTACAAGAAAACGGGGAAAGTATAAATTATGTACAATCGTTTCTTGAAGTCTTATTTTGATGGGTATCCCTGTATAAAACTTATCAAGAGAGTGTTGAGTATTTTTGTGAATAACCATCATAAATTATTCAAAGAGTACTAAATTACCTTATATTCAAAATTATATATAGTCCTTCCTAATTTTATCATTTAATTTTTTCTAAATATGAAGTTTCTGAACAATTCTTCAATTATTGCAATCCATTGATCCGTATAATGCTAAAAGTAAGCATGCAATATTTATGTGCTAGAATTCCTAGGGGGCAAGGAGGCAGTGCACCCCCTTGCCCTAGACTCGGAGCTATCACACTTTTAAAATCTGAAACTGAAGAGTGAAGAACATAAGCTTTTTTTCTGCTAGTTTTGTTTGAAGGAGAGATAAAGTAGTACCTGCTAGGTAATTGGACTGAATGTGTACCTTTAAAGTAACCAAGAAGCCAAATGTTTTAAATTTACAATTCAAATTTTGCCCCCCCCCCTCCCCTAGGAGCTCTAAAGGGGGGCCAAATTTGGCCCCCCCTAGATTTATTTCTGTGTCCGCCCTTGCCCCCTTTTCTCCATCCGGCATCCCTTTGTTCTCTATTTCTCCTTCCGGTCTCCCTCTTTTTCTCCATCCGGACTTCCTTCTTTTTCGGCCTCTGGCCCCCTCTTTTTCTCCATCCGGCTTCCTGTATATTCTGCATCTGGTCCCCTTTTTTCTCCATCCGGCACCCCTTTTTTCTCTATTTCTTCCTTCCTCTTTTTCTCCATCCGGTCTCCCTCTTTTTCTCCATCCGGCTTCCTGTATTTTCTGCGTGAAGAATCATTGCTAAAATATTCAATAAATAATGCATTTCTCAGCAAAATAATTCTTTAAGAAATATCTAGATCAGAAATAACAAAATATAAATGATTTTATTTACAGTTTATAGGAAAAATATAAAAGGGGTTTACTTTTAACTAATACAGGTTATATGGAAAATTTAAAAGAATTTTAGTTACAGTCTATAGGAAAAATAGAAAGATTTAAATTACAATTTATAAGAAAAATATAAAAATTATTATGTAAACAATTCTATCAAACCGCATCATTTATTTTTTTCTGACAAAAACATGAAGGATACAGCTAAGGTAAAATTATCATGGAAAATGCTCATTTCATCGATTGGTCTTATAAATATAAGGTCAATGAAATTAACACTAATTTTATCCCCCCCCCCTCCCAAACCATTTAATGTTTTTTTTAACTTTCTTATAATTTATATTTAGAAAGGTCTTTAGCGCGAATTTCCATTTATTTACAATTGTGCTTTTGATTATTTCAAATATTAAAAAGTCAAGGATTATCAGCTTTGAAAAATTAAAAGATAATAGTTAATGATTTAAAACTAGATTTTAAAACATTTTCTCATTAGGATATCTTACTATAGTCTAAATGTATCTCATCATTATTTAGATATATATTTAAAGGGTATTAAAGTAATATTAGACAATATATAAAATATTCAACTACAACCTTTTAACGGATACAAATATACGGAAATAGAAGATGGGGGAAACTTTGTTAAATATAAACGGTGAATATAAATGGAGGGAGGGGGGGGATGTTTGATAATATTTTGATACAATAATCCTTATTTGCTCATCAATACACTACCCATCATCTCTGAAACGTCAATATTTTTAACATTTTACGTTCACCAGGAGACAAGACGATCTATATTTATTTAAACGTCTAGCTGCAACAACCTCATATTCCAATTCTTAACACCTGGAAAACATCTTTTCTTTTTTCCTTGTATAATTTTAAACTATTTTTGTCGTAATAAAGCTGCCCTTGCCTCTTGATTTGAGTTATATATAATCTGTCTTCTGGGTTACTTTTAGCAGTTATACAGACCTAACAGATATGACATCTTCTGTGAAAAAAAGAACTGTAATAAATAGTCTGTATGGCGTTATAATATATAGAAGTAATGAACCAAAACCTAATTTCTACTACACACCTTTTTCTTAATTTTCTTAATTTTCTTTTTCTGCAGGCCAAAAGGTAGATCTGAAAATTTAAGGTTGAATTAAAATATTTTTGAAGATCAGAGTTAAAACCAATGAAATTGATTTTAAAGTCATTAACCGGATATCCGGATTTAGACTTGAAGATCTTGGATTCATCTATATTCTATATATATATACTTTTCTTGTCTGTCTGTCTAATTGTTTGTGTCCAATAAACGTTAAAACGGTTAAACTGATCGGGACCAAATTTTGTGTGGGACCTCACATGACCCCTGGAAAGGTTTATGGATGATCAAAATTAAAAATAAGCCTCCAACTCCTCCAACTAAGTTCGAATTTCATAAAATTAAAAAAATTCACGAATTTTTTTTTATGAAATTAACGAACTTTTGAACAATGAGAAAATGTTCACAATTGAAAGAGAAGATGGGCGGGAAGCGCTCTGAAAGCCTAGTTTCTTAAATTCTAAATACAACAGCTTTACAGGTTTTTGGTGCATATTTGCTATTAAAGGAACTGTTAACGTAATTATAACAGACCCTTCAAGTTTAGAGTGGCATGTCCGATTCACCCCGTTACCTTTTAACCTTTGACTGATCAAGGATGACAAAAACGCTTGTTTGGCAGCTGTTTTATAGCAAAAAATCTAAGAATTTTATTAGTCATTTCTTGGAGTAAAAACCAGATACTTTTATTTGAAATTTTTAAAACATATTTAAACCATTTTCAGCGAGAAAAATACGAATTTCTCTTTGAATTGAGAATCACTTGAAATTACGCCTACAGTCCCTTTAAGTTAAAAAAATGGCGAAATTAGATTTTCCTAGAGAAAATGTGAAAACATTAAATATTAAAGGTAGAAAAAAACACTTAAAGTAATGAATGAGCCTCAAAGTACGTTTTTTTGCAAAAGTTCTTGAAAAGAATATTCCAATTTTTATAAGTTTAAGAATTTTTTAGTGCACATAATGAGAGGTTAAATTCATTTCTTCAAAATGCATTTTCTAGAACTTCTTATTTTTCTATATTATTTCATTGATTTTTACACAACCATCCAATATTTTCAAAAATATCTGATAATAATTAATATAATACATGATAATACATAATTTATCAATAATTAATGTATTTTTTGCGTGTATTGGATATTTCAGAAATTATAGGTTTTCAAAAAAATATTTTTTTTCAACGTAAATTTTATCTCAGTATATATGGACCTTGTGGTGGTGGGGGGGGGGGCTGGCGTTTTTATTAAAGGTTATTCAAAGTATAGGGTTGGTTTAAAGGATGAATGGCATCTATAAATATTAATGATTTATTAGAACACGTGCACTGTGCAGCAGTTTAATACAGTCTGATTTGTGTGGGAAACCTTTATGTTTAAGGTATTCTTCGGTTATCATACATAACAAGACAAAGCTATTAGAGGGATTGTAAGTACATTAGAGGGATTGTAAATACAAAGCTATGAAAGGGATTGTAAGTACAAAGCTATTAAAGTGACTTGCGCATTTCTACTGCAGAAAATCATAATAGAAGTTATAAAAATTCAACGTTTTTAAGCCTAGAAAAACGACAATGTGTTCCACATCACTATATAGCTAAATGTTTTAATCACTGAGAATCTGAAAAGTCATCTTTGCATGGAGGGTCACATAGAATCACGCTTACAGTCCCTTTAAATATAAAATCCCACCGCTCAACAAATACTATTTCTAAATGTATATTATTGTTATTTCCTATTTCCGGTTAGAAAGGGGGGATGTCAAAACTAAAGTGACAAGTGTACTGGAAAGGGCGGAAAGCGCTTTCAACAAATATTTATTCAAAATGTCCAAACCTTATTCCTGAGAGGATTAAACAATTTTGTATCTACTCACATAGCGGGGTAAAGTGACAGTTGTGTCATTTAAAGGAATTGTCCTTGTAAATGCTATATTCACAAGGATACCCTTTAAACCTTTACCAGGAAGATTTTGAAGAAACCACAATTGAAAATGATCATTATAATAACATTGATATCTCATTCATTCTTGAACACACAAAGCATTTAATAATACCGTTGTAAATTGAACATGTCACTCTTTAAAAAGAGGGTCAGATGAAATTACGTGTACAGTTCTTTAAACGTGAATTACTAGGCTTTTAGGGCGCTTCGCGCCCATCTTCTATTTCAATTGTAAACATTTACTCTTTGTATACATTGTAAAACAAGACAAAAAAGTTTGCGGATTTTCTAAAAAAACGTGGATTTTCTAAATTTAATGGAATGCGAATTTTGTTAAAGGCAAATTTTTGAATTTGATGTCCCACACAAAATTTGAAAAGAAAGAGTCAAAGAAGTTTTAGCTATACTTGACTTTTAATTGAATTGAATTGCATCTAAAAAACACAATTTATTGAATGGAAATCTAGTTTATAATGTTCTAGAAAGGAGGACTGATGAAACCTTGATGTAGTAGTAAACATATTAATTTTCGTAAACATAATAATTAAAAATATAAATAGAGAGAGACTGGTAAATAACTAAGGGGATATCATTAAAAAATATCTGGACACAGCTGAACTTACAACTTAAGAAGAAATCAATTTTATTCCTCTAGCGTTACGTCAGATATCAAGTATATTGATCTTTCTATTTTTATTTTGAAATTTTCAAGCTTAAAATTTCGTTTACGACTTGTAAACCTTGTTGAAAATAAACTTTTATTTTCAACTTTCTCCTAGAAAATGCGTAATATTCTCCTAGAAAATGCTTAGTGTTCTCCTAGAAAATTCGTAGTGTTCTAGAAAATGCGTAGTATTCTCCTAGAAAATGCGTAATGTTCTCCTAGAAAATGCGCAATGCATCTGACGCAAAACATTCCTAAATCAGAAATATATCTGATCTCAAACTATCCCTCTAATCTATTCTGTAGGATTGACTTATTTCTCACTAATATAAGTATCATTAATGATTCACATCCTGACCTTTAAACAGTTCAAAGTCTGATAATCGAAGAAAAATATTTCTCATTTTTTCTTCTTCTGGTAATTAAGACAACTCAGACATTTGTCAATGGATATTTTTGTTATTGTTTATTCGAACTTTAACAACATGGAATTATCAATTTTAAAAGAAATAAATACAAAATTTTAATACCAACGAAATAAATTGATTTGTAAAATAGATTAATCAAAATATATTCAGACTTTTTTGCTACTGATCCTTTTACTTTACTGGAGAGAAGGAGTTGGTAAAAGATTCATAACAATACAGAAAGATCACAAAATGTCGTCTTTTCAAGATTTAGGGGTTTTTCGAACACAATAACCCTGAGGCAGAGGCCCAAAGGAGTTAAACGCATGCCCTATCTCTGTCTTGTAATTCAACGCTGCCTGCGTGGAATTCCTTTGGGTTTCTACCTCAGGGTTATTGTGAACTAAAAGCCCTGAAATCTTGAAAAGACGACATCTAGTCTTCTATCTGTATTGTTATTAATCTATAGAATTGGCTCATTATAAAACCCCTGTCTAATATGTCTACTCAAAGTTGTCTCCTTCCCCCACCTCTTTCCCCTCTTCCCTCCCCCTCTCTTGAGTGTTTGAGGAGTAAGATTACCGAGGTTTCTAATTCCTTGAATGGCGAAGTTAGATTATTCCCTAGTCTATCTTCAGTATTAAATATAAATATAAAATTTTAAATCAGAAATATAAAAAAAACTGAAGAAGAAAGCTAAGAACTATTTTTTAAAATCAATTTAAAAAATCAACCTCTCCTTTGTAATTTTTCATTTTATATTTTTTGAACGTTTTTTAAACAATCACTTAAAAATCACAAATATCAAAAAAAACTTTAAAATTCCAAATTCTAAATTTTTACTTTTTCAAATCTTTGAACCAACCTTTTTTCTCCTTTTCTTTTTATTGCGTCTCAACAATTTTCGACGTTTATCAAAGAAGCCTTATAAATAAAATAAATATATTCAAAGTTAAGATTTGGTTAAAAATTGATAATTATTTAAGTGTTTAAATGGATTATTTTACAAATAGTAAAATTATCCTAAAATGGTTTAATGGCAATTTAAAAAGCTTTAAACTTTTGTTTTTGCTACGAACAAAAAGTTCAATGTTGAGTTGAGCGAAATATTAAATTTTGGGAATTTTGTTTTTGCCAAAATCTTAAAGTATGCAATATTATTCGTGTCAAGTTATGAAAGTTTAAGATGTTAATTTGTTTTAACAAAAGTTTGCAATATTTTTGTGCGATTATTAAAAATATCTTAATTCTAAAGGTTTGCAATATTGCTATGTGCGCAAAATTACAAAAATTTACAACTTTTTTTGCAATGACGAGTGCAAATTTGTAAACTGTTGTTTATAGTGAGGGAAACAAATGTTTCCAGTACATGTGCTACCCTGGAAAAGGAGAAGGGAAGGGACCCTTCAGAAGATGTAAACAGAATAATGATTGTCAAGGTCAGTTCATCCAAATAATGGACATAATGGACATAATGGACATAATGGACATAATGGACATAATGGACATAATGATCTTTTCTCAACTCTCCCCATCAAAATGCAAACAAAGTTCTTTTTAGAAAAGGATTTCGTTTTAATAGACTTTTTATTTTATTTTATGATTGTACTAGAATATTAAAAACATTTCCTGAATAAAATAACAGGGTGATAATATAATATAATAACGGGGTGTGATGAAATAATATAATGACAGGGTGATAAAATAAATTTTATTTTAGATCTACAGCCCCAAGAAGGAGGGGACGGTTTAGAGGGAGAATGCTTTCGGCATCATGATAGACGTACAGTACATGAAGGAATATGTCTTAGTTCAAGGTATATATGATGATAGATGTACTGTACATGAAGGGATATGTATTAGTTCTAGGTATAAATCATGATAGAAGTACAGTACATGAAGGAATATGTCTTAGTTCAAGGTATTTATCATGATAGATGTACTGTACATGAAGGGATATGTATTAGTTCTAGGTATAAATCATGATAGAAGTACTGTACATGAAGGAATATGTCTTATAGTTCTAGGTATAAATCATGATAAATGTACTGTACATGAAGGAATATGCCTCAGTTCTAGGTATAAATCATGATAGAAGTACTGTACATGAAGGAATATGTCTTATAGTTCTAGGTATAAATCATGATAGAAGTACTGTACATGAAGGAATATGGTTTAGTTCAAGGTATATATCATGATATATGTACTGTACATGAAGGAAGAGATGGGCTTAGTTTTTTTGAACGAACGAAATCTTTCGTTGAAAAGGGTGGATCCTTCAGAAAAAAACGAACGATGGACGAACAAATCAGATCGTTCAGAGAAATGAAAAAAAGATTTTGGCCAAAAAAGTATAATTCAAAAACAGAATTCAAAACTAAAATCATTAAGAAACAAAATAAATAATGAAAATTTAAATTTATATATTCGTAAAAAAGTATTTAGTTGTTTTTCAAAAATTCATTTATCAAAGCCGGTACTGTGTATTGACTATAGGTGATGCATATTGAGTACATTGTAATCAAATTGCGTTTATTTAGACAGATTACATTATTTAGATAGATTACATTATTTAGATAGATTACATTATTTAGATAGATTACATTAAATCGTTAAAATTAAACTTTAAATGCTAAATGTTAAAGCACAATGTTGCTGTTTTATTACCGACTTTTAATTTAATTAACTGCAGTAGTGACAAAATTAATGTTTCTTTTATCAACCTTTCTAGCTAAGTTTGAGCAATTAATAAAATTTTCTAGATTAAACTAAGTTTGAGCAATTAATAAAATTTTCTAGATTAAACTAAGTTTGATTAATAGCATTTTCTAGATTAATCTAATTTTGAGCAGTAACATTTTCTAGATTAAACTAAGTTTGAGCAATTAATAAAATTTTCTAGATTAAACTAAGTTTGAGCAATTAATAAAATTTTCTGGATTAAACTAGATTTGATTAATAGCATTTTCTAGATTAAACTAAGTTTGAACAATTACATTTTCTAGATTAAACTAAGTTTGAAAATAACATTTTCTAGATTAAACTAAGTTTGAACAATTACATTTTCTAGATTAAACTAAGCTTGAAAAATATCATTTTCTAGATTAAACTAGGTTTGAAAAATATCATTTTCTAGATAAAACTGAGTTTGAACAATAACATTTCTAGATTAAACTAAGTTTGAGCAATAACATTTTTCATCAAATGTTTTATTTTAAAGGTATTTTCAAAAATTATAATTAATTAGATTAATTTTTAATAATTTAACTTTAAAGGGACGTGATTTTATATCCTAGAGGTGTATGTCCGATTCACAATAACTGCGGATTTATGGATGCAAAGGCAAAGAAGCTTTTGACAGAATTCAATATTTCTACAGATAAAGATTATTTTTTTTATGTTCAAAATAGAACAATTTACAACGATACTATTTAAATATATTTAATGCTTACCTCGGAGAACTTTTAAACATCACAGAGGTCCAGCCAGCTATAAAATGATGCATCTGACTCATCTGTGCTGTTGGAAAAGTGTTTGCTGAGAATGTTTAAAATAAAAAGTATAAAATGTAATATTTTCTGAAGTGTGCAGACACTATGGAAAATATATCAAACCAATATATCAAAAATATTTTACTGCCGATCCATTGGAGAAAATATCATAAACTTACATACTGTAAACCGGAAAACAAAACAAAAACATGATAATAATAACGATAATAATAATGATATTAATTATGATGACAGTAAAAATGTATATTTAAGGCTAAAATACAGGAAAATATTAAAAACAGATATAAAAAAAATCTGTATTTTTCACAATTAATACAGACGCTGACGCTACAATTTGCAGACAAGAATAGTTTCCAGATTGTATCAACCAGTCCGATCATGATCAACCAGCCGGATCATGATCAACCAGCCCGATAATGATCAACCAGCCCGATCATGATCAACCAGCCCGATCATGATCAACCAGCCCGATCATGATCAACCAGCCCGATCATGATCAACCAGTCCGATCATGATCAACCAGCCCGATCATGATCAACCAGTCCGATCATGATCAACCAGCCCGATCATGATCAACCAGCCGGATCATGATCAACCAGCCGGATCATGATCAACCAGCCCGATCATGATCAACCAGCCCGATCATGATTAACCAGCCCGATCATGATCAACCAGCCCGATCATGATCAACCAGCCTGATCATGATCAACAAGTCCTATCATGATCAACCAGCCGGATCATGATCAACCAGCCGGACCATGATCAACCAGCCCGATCATGACTGAATGATCAATTTCAAGAAAAAATACTAAACTTATGAAGCATGTGCCGAAAAATCTTCGAGTTCAAGTATATTTTTCGTAAAAAAAATGTTCAGATTTTTTGCTTAAAAATGCTAATTTTCGGCTTCGCCCCAAAGTTCTGGATGATGTCCTTAAGCTTAAAATCACAAAATAGGCAACAACAACTGGAGGCGTCGTGTTGGTAAACCCATGTTAAAAATTCTCGATCTTATTTATCTTTGTTTGTTACTATTTGTGTATAAAATACACCAAGGTATTATAAATCACCACGATCTGATAGATTGAGCAATAACATAAACATGGGAAATCAATCAATGTTTGTATTTAGAGCAGTAAGAATTAGAATTGTAAATACACATAATTGTAGTGATTGTTCTGAGTTAGTAGCGACCACATCTATATACATATATATATCCATAGACACCGTGTTTTGTCCTATTAAGACTCAGTATTTCGTCCTATTAGGACTCAGCAGTATGGCTCAATTCATCAGTTTTTTTGATTTTGCAGTTGGCGGGGCTTGAGCTATGAATCCTTGGATATATATATATACTTATGACCTTTCTCTTCTGCGCTTGTATTTATTCTGCTTTCCCTTTCTTCATATTGTTTCTGCTTTCCCTTTCTATATAACCTTTCTTCTTTCCCTTTCGTTGTACCCTTTTAGTTTTCCCTTTCTTTATATCCTTTCAGTTTTCCCTTTCTTAATATTGTTTCTCCTTTCTCTTTCTTTATGCACTTTCAGATCTTTTATCCTTTTCTCTTCTTTTTCTTCACGATCCTTTCCCTTTTTTCTTTTGATCCTTTTCCTCGTTAGTTTCTTTTTTACTCTTCTTTCTCTATATAACATATTTTCTCCATTATCTTTCCAAGGTTTTCCATCATTTCCCCCTCCTTCTATTCCTACTTTGATTTAATTAAATGTTGACTGCAACTTCTTGAGTTTTGAAGGTCAGCTCTTGTAATGCAAAAAGTAACTGTGCTAAATCTATTAAGATGAAAATCTGCCAGAAGATTTTGCAAGCTTTGAAGCAGAACATTTAACTCAACTTCATATTATGCAATAGAGTTCAAACATAATAAGCTTTAGAAAGGTTGTAACTTTCTTTCAAACTGGAAATAACAGTCTCACATATACATCAATTATATTCTACAAATCTTTATATTTATATATTTACATATTTCCCTTGGATGTTTCAGTTTTTATCAAATCCACTTAACGTCAAAATGGCTGAACCTATCGCGACAAAATTTTTGTGGATAATTTCAGGGAAGGTTTAAGTAGGTCGAATTGACCCTTTTGACCAGATAAAAATGATGATTTTTAAAAATCAAAATTGTAAACATGGTTTTTTACTTCTTGCCTGATGTTCAAAAAAATAATGGCGACTGGTAAAAGACTGTAAATGATCACTTTAAGGTTTCCCCGTTTTTGTGCATTTTATTAGAGTTCATTTATTTTTGTATAAGGCTTCAAATGCAAACTTTTACTTTATAGGAATATTCGGAAATAATTCAAAATCGACTAAAATTACTAGAATTATGTCTGTGTACGGTACGTACATTATTACATATAATAAATAGGTATATTATCCACACAGTGTACATTTTTAAAAATCTATTAAACAACTCAAAATATATCGGCAAAATATGTCTATAAAAAAACTTAAATCGGATCAGGGTGAAATATATACCGAAAAAAATATGATAATTTACCAATAAGAAAAACAAATTTATTTTATTTATTAAATACGGAGCAGTTATTGTATAGAGTCTCTTTAAAGTAAGTGTTATTAAGTTCTCCCATGGAGTGTCTCAAGTTGGGTTGGGTTTGTCTAAATTGTAACGGCGGGAGAAAGGAGGGGGGGGGGGCATCCTCACCCCTAGAAAATTTGAGGCGCAATTTGGAGAAGTCTAGCTCTTTAAATTCGATTTTTGAAGAGAAATTAAACATTTTTTGGTCTATGGCACCACTTAATCACTCAATAATTAGATAATATTGTTTTTCAGGAGAAAGGGGGGGTAATACGTTTCCCCTCTAATCCTATTACATTCAATCGTTTCAGAGTTATGACAAAAAACTACCAAAATACCTTAAACGGTAATATTTTGCCGGTTGGATATAAAAGTTATCGTACTTCGCGAACAATATTCAAATTATCCCCCCCCCCCCCAACCCCCCGCCATGGAAATTTTAGAAAGCAGCCCCTGTTTCAAGGTTATAATGCAAGGAAAGTTAATTGCAGTTGCGTATACTCTGCGAACATATTGAAACCAGTTCTCTCTGGGAGGAATTTGTAAACAAGAATAGATGCATAAGTGTTCGTCTAGTATCCGAGGAGGTTAAAAGCATTGAGTTTTGATAATTCACATAATAGTTTCTTGTAACCAGAATATTTCATTGATTTTTTATGTAAAAGATGGATCCCATGTCAGACTTCGACATCCGTCTTGTGTTTACATTACCGCCCAGAGACAGTACACTGCAGTAAAAAGGTGGGTACACCTCTGAAATAACTTTCCTTTCATTATAACCTTGCCCTGTCTAAAGTATATTTAGAGCTATAGTGTAGTTTATGATTAATGTATAAAGAATTATTTATTATTCAAAACTACACAATATATATTTATAACACTTTACTTTAAGGAAAACGGTGAAAACAGAATTTTAAAGAACTACTTTCTAATATTTGTAAAAATGTTGGTATTTAAAATAGAATTAATTTATAGAGGTTTAAGGATGCGACTTCAGATACGACTGTACTTTTTTTTAATAGATGGTTCCCTGTAACTATAACTTAATTCTTTTTTTTGAAAAAATATTAAAAATATCATTCTAGAACTAAAATTTTACATATCGGACAAATTCAACCTTTACCTTGTAGTATTTTGACTCCGTAAGGTAACCGACAAAAAAGTTCTCTAAAAATAAAAAGTCTCCGGAAATAAAGTCCTACCATTTTGAGACTTTATTATCTAGGACTTTATCCTGGTTCCAGTATGATTTTATAAATAAAAACTACCCAGGAAAAAAGCCTATTATAGTAAAACATGCAGATGCATAGAAAAAACGTCTTAGACTTTTCCTCAAGCCTTAGGACTTTTTTCTTGTTTTTTGTTTCTTCGGATTATTTTCTTCAGGACTTAAATTCCTGTGATCTTCTTTCCTTAGACTTTATTTGCAGCTCCCAAACTATTTAAGGAAAAAAAGTCCCAGGAATCTAAAACATTTTGTCCTAGGACTTCAGAAAATTGGGGCTTTTTTACCAAAGTTTTATTTCCTCTTTTTTTCTGGTAACTTTCTTACATAGATTCACTCCGTCTACATATTTAAAGGCATCTATATAAAGTTCATGAAAAAGTTGAAAATTCATCAGGAAATAAAAACTAAAAATAAAACTTATAAATAATCCATACTTTCCTTAATTAGTGTCACATTAGGAGCTAGAAACTAGATTATAAATACAGATTACAAATTACATTATGTATTTATAGAGACCAGTCTGACACTTAAAAAGAATATATTAGAAGCATACAATGCATTACAAAATTTGAAAAGCGAATAAATTGTAAAAATGTTAATCTATATTTCTATCTTCGGGTGTTTTAAAAATAAAAAATACAATCTGCTCAATGAATTATCTTTTCAATCTTATATTGAACCTTAAAATATTAAAAGTTACGCAAAGTTGCGTATGCATAACATCGTGAAGTTACGCACAGCAATTGAATAATTGATAATCCGGTTTATTTCATATTCTCCTCTCTCAGCATATACACTAACTTAGGCTAATAAATATACATATAATGTATATATACTAATATAGATTAAATCATGAGGACTGCAGTGCAAACCAGAAATGTGTAAACGGATATTGTGGAGACAAAACATACTTTGAAGCTTTACAGAATATGAGGTGTACCAGTGGCTTACAAATATGGAGATTACTACTATATTTATTACATACCTCAACTACCCACACTTCAAGAAATACCTGACCTACCTGACCTACCTGAACTACCTGGCCTACCTGACCTACCTGACCTACCTGACCTACCTGACCTACCTGACCTACCTGACCTACCTGACCTACCTGACCTGTCTTAATTACTTGACTTACCTGACCTACCTGACCTACCTGACCTACCTGACCTACCTGACCTACCTGACCTTTCTGACCTTCCTGATCTTCCTGACCTATCTGACCTACCTGACCAACCTGACCTACCTAAACTACCTGAACGACCTAACCTACCTGAACGACCTAACCTACCTGACCTACCTGCCTACATGACCTACCTGACCTATTTAGACCCTGTTGACTGGAGCATACTGTTGTATAGATCTTTCTGGAACCCTGAAAGGCTGGCAATCATCCAAAGGAAAACAGATAACCAGCGATATAAGTAATATAGGCAATATAAGCAATATAAGGAATATAAGCAAGTTAAGGAATATAAGCAACACAAGCAATAAAAGCAACAAGCTGAAGTACCCGGCGTTGCTCATGTAAAAAATACAAACAATATAAGAAACAGAAGAAATTAAATCAATATAAGCAATATACGCTGTAAGCTGTACTTGAATCAGAAAATATAGTAGAAGTTTATCTAAATATAATTATTCTATGAATGTATATTATATAGTAGAGGTTTATCTATATATAATTATTCTATGAATGTATATTATATAGTAGAGGTTTATCTATATATAATTATTCTATGAATGTATAGTATATAGTAGAGGTTTATCTATATATAATTATTCTATGAATGTATAGTATATATTCTAGAGAAGGGTAGAATATAATTATCTCCCTGATTGCTGTTTAGGCCAAAAACACTATATTCAACATTATAAAAGATAGAAAATAGACTATCAAGCACAATAGGTGGCAGTACACACAGGACAAACCAGAGTGAGCAGCATTCGGTTTCTTCTACTTTAAATCACAAGTGTTTTGGTATAAAATTCCACAACCTTTTACCTTTCGGATTTGTTTATTCTATACTTTTTCATTCAAAATGCATATGCCGACAAAAAAGTATTTTTAAAAAAAGGTTAAAAAATTATTTTTAAGGGTCAAATTGTGATCGAAAGTCAAAACTTTCTGGATTATTGACAGAACCGTTAAATCCACGTGAGTAGAGAAATGGACCAATAATACACGACGTCACAAGTAACAAATAGAACAAGGAAAACGAAATTTTTTCACATTAATTGACATGTTTTCCAAGATTAAATAAAAACATGTTAAAACAGAAAATAAAGAACACAAAATTGCACGCATTTTACCGTAAGATAAGAACTTTATTTCAAAATAATCAATAATTTTCTCGGACACAAAAACTAAGTTGGCACTTGTGACGTAAGAATACAGCGGTACTGAGTGTACAAATTCTACTTTGCCATCTATTGTTACTAGAATCTATTTGGAAGTGGGGGGGGGGGGAAGGGAAGGAATGAAAATGATTGGAAATGGTGAAAGAAGGAGGATAAAATGAAAAAAAAAAATTCATTTCATGTGACTTTTTAATTTAGCCTTGAATTGCCACTAACTCAATTTTTTTCATTCCTATACCTTATGGTTTAAATATTTGATATCTTAAACTTTAATTATCTAATTTTAAAGAATTCATTGTTAGAAATATCTATAAATGTCTACGATACATTCCATGCTGCAAAGATAAAAGGAGAAGAAAATCAGAGTTTGTGGCAAAAACTCAATTCTTTTCCATATTGTTAGTGGAGTGAGGACGACCAAGTATAATAATTAATATGCAGTTGAACATCCTGATTGATTGTTCGTTTAATAATTTTTTGGATCGTCTTGTTATTTTGTTAGACACTCACACACTATATTATAGTGGAGTGAGACTAAAATGGAGGTTCGGCTGCAGATCCTGAGATATATATGGGGCTGGAATAAGAAATACTCAGTAAACGTTGATGAGAATATTGAGGGGAGGGGGGAGGGGAGGAGGGGGGGGTTAAGTATTATGCATTGAATGTTGATTTAAGCAAAGTGGGAGGTTTAAATAGTGGTAGAATAAGGAGATGGGAAAGAACTTGAATAGGTACAAAAGTGCTTAAAGGATTTAAAAAATAGGATAAAAAGAAAACCACCCGAAAAGTTTGAAAATGACCGAAGGAGGTAGAAGTATCGGAGCTTTTTTGCAAGAATGGAATTTAACTGAAGAACGGAGAGATGAAAGGGGAAGATGATAAGCAGAGGGATGAAAGGGGAAGATGATGAATTAAAGGGAAGATAATAAGTAAAGGTATTAAAGGAAAGATGATAAGATGATATATGAAAGGGGAAGATGATAAGATGATAAATGAAGGGGGAAGATAATAAGTAAAGGTATTAAAGGAAAGATGATAAAATGATATATGAAAGGGGAAGATGATAAGATGATAAAGAATAGTCAGAGGGGGAGGGGGATTATCTGATAACAAGAGATATATATTGGGTGTATAATGCAATAGATATCTATGTGTAATGTATAATATATACCAAAGCTGTGACTACGGTTTAGAAATAGTTTTATTCTGATGTGATTTTGATAAAATTCACAAAAAAGGCCATGGGTCAAATTATATAATAACTGACTAATGAGTAAAATTATCGAGAAATTCTTTAAATATGAACTACCATGCAGGGATACATTTAGTTGCTTTAAGTTTGCTGATTCAAAGATTTTGAAATCTAAAACTTTTGAAAGCTTAAAAGCAAAAGAGCAACCAAAAATTAATATTTGTTGCTACATTTTTGCTGTTCTCTTCCTCATTTAAGAGGTTTTTTAGGATATCTAAGTAAATATCAGTGTGCCAGGTCTTACAGATAAACTTTATGTCATATCGATGTTTCATATCAATGCATTGATCTCAAATTTGGATATAAATACCGTATAATTTTTAGTATTTTGGCACAACTACTATATGTCTTCTATGATAGAAAATGTCTTAATTTTCCAATACTGATTCAGCAAAATATAAAAATAAAGGAGATGAAATGATTAATAAACAATTTCTCGGAAGGGTGATGAGGATGGGATGGATGATATGACAGATGGAAGAGTAATCATATTCGATATTGAAGAATGAAGATATAACGGGGGGTTACTAGCACATATTATGGATGGAGTTGGAAGGATATTCATTAAAAGTTTGGCAAGTTGTGTACATTGAATAAAGATAGATTACTAGACAACAAATACAAATAGAAACCACATTATAACAAAACTAGTGCGCACGCGCTTCTAGTAAAATTGATGCACACATCGGGGGATTGTCAGGGGGGGGGGTCAATTTATTCTGTGCACGCCCCTAATCCTGGTTCACCCGGTAGTTAATCATTTAAGCAAAGTTGTTCAACACTGCAGGATTGTATGACAGAACCATTATTTGAAAGGAGGTTGAAAGGAGGTTGAAAGGAGGTTGAAAGGAAGTTGAGATTTAATACCTAGAAATTAAGAATTGATTGTTTCTTTATGTAAATTCTGATATGGTGCCCGCAGCATAAGGAGTTTCAGAAATAGACCTATTTAATGATATATATATGTTTATTTTTACAATGTTGTCATTTTTAGGTAAACTTTATTATTTATTAGAATAAATAAAAATTATAGTTTAAATGAAAAATGGCTTTGTAAAATCCACGATGAGTATGAAAAGGTGTTCAATCGTAAATCAGTCTGTACATAATAATTGGTAACCAAAAGCGCGTCGCAAGATGAGTTAGGTTCATTGTACATTAGGTTAGATTATTTACTACAACTAAAGTCAAGAATTAATTAAATTTTTCAAAACATTTATTTTTAATATTTGCCAAAATACATTTTCCATTATAATATTTGCCCAAAGTAACATTTGCTTTATGTTACAGTTACCATCTATATATATACTTTTCTTGCTTGTCTCTCCGTCTGTTTGTTTGTTTGTTTGTATCCATAAACGTCAAAACGGCTGAACCGATCGGTCCAAATTTTTTTTGTGGGGCCTCACGTTACCCCTGAGAAGGTTCATGGATGATCAAATTTTTTAAAAATTTGCTTATAATAAAATTTGATTTTTGAGAATTTTGAAATCCACGAAATGTTTTGATAAAATCCGCGAAATTTTTGTTTGTTTTTGTTTTACCATAAACAAAGAGAAAATGAAAAAGAAGATGGACGTGAAGCGCCCTAAAAGCCTAGAAATAGTTAAATTTGCTGTAAATTTCGCCCTTTAAGTTTTTGCAGTTCATTAATCTAATTCTAGTTCAAACAGCCCCAGAGCCTGTCCTAGCTACAGCGTTCAGAAAAGCATGTTTTATGCAAGGTACTAATGCGAGGAAAGTTAATTGCGGTGTGTATACTCTGCAGCGTACATATTGAAAGCAGTTCTCTCTGGGCGGAATTTGTAAACAAGAATAGATGCATGAGTGTTCGTTTAATTACTAGTATTCGAGGAGGAACAAAGCATTTAATTTTGATAATTCACATAATAGTTTCCTTTGACCAGAATATTTCAAAGATTATTTTTGTGAAAATGGATTCCATGTCAGGCTGTAACATCCGTCTTGTGATTACTTTTCCGCCCAAAGACAGTACACTGCAGTACAAAAAATGCGTACACTTCTTAAATAACTTTCCTTGCATTAGTACCTTGGTTTTATGAGTGTGCGCAAAATACATTATATAGTAAAGAATATTGGTTTCTTAATTTAAAGGTGTTAAGTTCCAGTTCAATTAGGAAAATTCGAATTCTTTATAAAATATTTGAATTAGATTGATAATTAGATTCCATTCCTAAGTTAGTTCTAAAATTGAATTTAAAAGAAATATTTCATTACACAAAATTTTAAAACTAGAAATTAAATTCATAACTCGACAATGTTTATAACATCGCTGTTTATCTGTGATGCAACAGCTACGTGGGACAAGAGCTGTTGTGACAGCGAGAATGAATACCCGTTGATACAGCCACCAACAAATCTGACAGATACTGATTTATCGAAGGTAACTTTTTTCTAGTTAATACAGTTAAACCATACCATTCATGTCTCATATCCTTTATGAAGGTAACCAGACCTTGTACTTTTTAGCAGAAATGAATTTTATAATTTTTTTTTCATTCAAGATTTAATTATCTCTCTACTTGATTTAAATGAATTATTGAATTGATCTCGTAATATTTATTAAACCATGTCAGGTTTTTAAACACTCTGGGATCTTTCATGGCGTGGCGAGGAATTCATATGATTCAATTAAATAAAATAGAAAATAGAAATAAATAATATTAAATAGACTTCATCCAAACTTTTTTCTTTTTGGATCTGCTTGTATTGTAAACGCAGACTCTCCTAATATTTTTGGTTTGCAGTTGGGTATAATACATGTTACTTTGCTTGGCAGTGGCACCGACGAACTTGAATTTATCAGAATTATTCATTAAATTTAGTATTTTATGTTCATTGAACATTTTAAGATCATAAATTGAGTATAAAAGTCGTCTTTATATTCCCAAGTTTAATTTTTACCAATGTTTTTCTTAATTCTGCAGCATTTTTTAGACCCTTTACCAATTGATGACACCAACCTTTCGTAATAGAATTCATAAGACTTCAAAGTAAAAAGTCGTCAGGCATTTAGTTTGCATTTCTATAGAACTTTCTGCAATTTTTTTTCTTAATAGTTGATATTTTATAAACAAATTCTCCATAAATGAATTGAAGAGTAATATTAATAATAATCTATGCGATATTATTTCTTTATCTTTCCATTAAACAGAAGACGACATTTACAAAAAATTATTTACCTTTTATAAAATTGGACATTTTTGACCTCCTCTCACTTTCTCCACCTAAAATCTCAATCCACAATACGTCAGAAAAAATACATTTCATAAAATCTGAAAATGTTCACTAACAATTATTTGCTATTTAGACAAAAGAGATGCGTAACTTTATCACAAATGCAGCTATAATTCACCAAAGACGATCATCATATCCAGCAAATGATTAAATTAATTTTGAAATACAAATTCAATTTAAGTTAACTTTTATCGCAAAACATTCACAATTATGTAAAATAACTTACATTTACAGTCACTGAAAAAAGGATTATATTGCAAAAATTATTCGAATATTCTACATTTTAATTCTAAGAAATAGTAAATTTCAAAAATTCTGAATCCGCCAATTTTCGATTTTTTTCAGAATATCCCAAAAAAATCACCATTTAAAGTCAAAATCTAAAATAAAGTGCCATCTTATATTTTATTTTGGTTATTTTGAGATTATAGAAAAAAAAATTGAATTTATGAATGTTTAAGGGTAGAAAAAATTTTGCAAAAAACGGCTAAATTAAACGCCATCAAAAAAGAAAAAATTATATATTAAACAAGTGTCTGTGCACCTTATAAGCTACCACTCTAGTAGAAAAATGTTTTGACCTTATTATGAACCAACCTAGTTTTTTTACAGTCCTTTTAAGAATATGCCCTGGCCCCAGCAGTCAGCACTGATAATAGAAAAACCAAGTTTATTTATTAATTTTAAATATTTCAGTTGGATCGGACTATCGCGCACATGAAAACTTTTCAAATAGAGATGCCAGTCTGCCTTGGTCTTCCTTATCAAACCATGGTTAAACTACCTTCTTGTCAGGTATAGTTGAACTACCTTCATATCAGGTATAGTTAAACTACCTTCATGTCGGGTATATTTGAACTATACCTTCATGTCAGGTATATTTGAACTATACCTTCATATCAGGTATAGTTAAACTACCTTCATGTCAGGTATAGTTAAACTACCTTTATGTCAGGTATAGTTGAACTACCTTTCATTAGGTATAGTTAAACTACCTTCATATCAGGTATAGTTGAACTATACCTTCATGTCAGGTATATTTGAACTATACCTTCATGTCAGGTATATTTGAACTATACCTTCATGTCAGGTATATTTGAACTATACCTTTATGTCAGGTATAGTTAAACTACCTACATATCAGGAATAGTTGAACTACCTTCATATCAGGTATAGTTGAACTACCTTCATGTCGGATATATTTGAACTATACCTTCATGTCAGGTATATTTGAACTATACCTTCATGTCAGGTATAGTTAAACTACCTACATGTCAGGTATATTTGAACAACCTTCATGTCAGGTATTTTTGAACAACCTTCATGTCAGGTATATTTGAACTACCTTCCTGTCAGGTAAAACTACCTTGTACAGTACAGTTGTACAGTTGTACAGTTGTAGAGCTGGTTGTACAGTTGTACAGTTGTAGAGCTGGTTGTACAGTTTTACAGTTGTGCAGTTGTACAGTTGTACAACTGGTTGTACAGTTGTACAGTTGTACAGTTGTACAGTTGTACAGTTGTTCAGTTGTACAGCAGGCTACTTTTCCGATTATCAGCAGTACCGTATGAAATGTTATCTAAGTAACAATTAAGAAAAGATATAAATTCTGGCTATTTCCCTACTTGTCTCTAATTCATAAATAAACAAAAAAAATTTCGAAGAGAAACTGAAATTGAAAAGTATTAGCTTTCAGACTTGAAAATAATTAAGGATATATCTTCATACTTTTAGCTTGACAATGGTTTCAAAGTGCTTTTGCGATTAAGGCATCTGGTTAAATGAAGAGTAAACATGAATTTTGTCAAACCTTGACAGTCACAATTTTATTTATCTTAAGTTAGGAAATGAGACATAATTTGTAACAAATCTTGATTTCTTATTTCTCATCTGAAAACATATTACAATTATAACAGTATAAAAACTGTAACAAATTCTTGTACCATGGATATTTTGTTACAGTCGTATTTGTCAACCAACATGGTTATAAATGGGATGTAAATCCCCTGGTTTTAGACGGAGGGGGGCACGTGGATTTAACGGTTCTGTCAATATTTCAGAAAGCTGGGACTTTCGATCACAATTTGACCCCTTATATAGGATGTCCCAAAAAGCATGGGAATTCAATGACAAATTGGATATCGTCTTTGTTTTGAATTAGTATTATAATACCTAATTTCAAAAGCCATAATATTATTATGGCTGCTAGAGTTAATTTTATGAAAAGGGTAAAAGACTGTAAAGATGTGTTTATAATGTCTCCGCAAGATGAACAGTGAAGACGGACAAGTTTACTCTGTTTGTATACTCTAATTTTCTTGTTTTACTAAGTACAACCTTATGCAGTCATATACATAAACAAACAAAATGTGAACATAGCAGACGAAACTCTCACAGATTACAGCTTTCTCAGTAGGTATCACTATCCCATGTTTATCACCCTGTACATAACTTTATAGCCTTTTTTCTTAAAGAATTTTTTGTTTGCATATACATTTTGAATGAAAAAGTATAAAATAAACAAATCTGTAAGTTTAAAGATTGTTGAAATATAGACGAAAACACTTTTGATTTCAAATAAAAGAAACAGGATGCTTTTCTCTGTGGTTAGTTCAGTGTGTCATAGTCCCATTTTCACTTTATTAAATGAAACAGACTTGGTCCAATAACACAACTTTTTNAGGAGATATAGCCATGTTTCAGGAGATATAGCCCTGTTCCAGGAGATATAGCCCTGTTTCAGGAGATATAGCCCTGTTCCAGGAGATATAGCCCTGTTCCAGGAGATATAGCCCTGTTCCAGGAGAATTTACTCCCATGTTTCAGGAGAATTTCACCTCTGTTTCATTAGAATTTTCACCACTTTTCCAAGAGAATTTACACCCATGTTCCAGTAGAATTTAAACCCATTTTCCAGGAGAATTTATACCCATATTCCAGTATAATTTACACCCATGTTCCAGAAGTATTTACACCGGCGTTCCAGGAGAATTTACGCCCATGTTCCAGTAGAATTTACAACCCTCATCAAGGAGAATTTAAACCCATTTTCCAGGAGAATATGCATCCATTTTCTAGGAGAATTTGCACCCCTTTCCCAGGAGAATTTACACCATTATCTAGAAAAATTTACACCAATTTTACAGGAAAATTTACAACTATGTTTCAGGAAAATTTACACCAATTTTACAGGAAAATTTACACCTATGTTTCAGGAAAATTTACACCCATTATCTAGGAAAATTTACACCCTGTTTACAGGAAAATTTACACACATTTTAAAGGAGAATTTTCTAGGAGAATAAACTTTGTTTCTAAAAGTTAAAAATTTGAAGAATAGAATCCCCAGTGGACATTGAAGGGTAATCAATATTCAAGATAAGAAGAGGATTTTAGAAATACCTCCGTCAAGAATAATAGAACCAAAGATGAAAGGGGGGGGGGTGCACGAAGCACTAAAATTTGCCCCCCCCCCCCCGAGAAGTTTGTTTAATATTTAGGATTAAGGGGAAACACAATTTGAATTTTACCTTTTTTTAACCAGCAAAATCCGCTAAATACGGTTTACAAAGAAAAATGGCAGCTTGAAGTGAAGCCAGCTAAAATGTTTAATAGAAAAGTAGGCGCAAAGTGTTCTGAAAGTGTAGTGCTTTAAATTTTCAGTATCGTCAGGCCGTCCGTAATTGCAGTTTGAATATTCTAACAATGAAGGGGTGACACGTAGGGTGAAAATCTTCACAAAAAAAGTTAATTTTTATGCATATATTATATTACATGCATGGATATTGAAAATTTGCAACGTTAACATAATCTTATTTAGAATTTTAAATCAATTTTAAAAATTCTTTAAAATTTCAAAATGACATATCTATATACTACGATAAAAGCCTACCATCGAATACCAATACTGAATAAAATAATGAATATGTTAAATCCAGAGACTTAGATAATATAGCTTTCGGATTTTTTTTTTCAATAACAAAGGTTCATAGAGTAATAAATAATATTACTCTATGCAAAGGTTACAATTGTAAACCCAAGCTATAGTTAAATAAAGTTTATTTTGTTGTAAGATTTTAAATCTGTAAAATTATTTCAGGATTACACGACAACAACAACAACAACAACTACCACCACGACAACAACAACAACAACAACAAAGAGGCCGACCCCACCACCTAAACTCTCCCAGCAAACATCAGCAGGGCTTGTTGCAACTTCATCAACAGTTTTTCTTCTTCTCCTTCTTTTCGTAAATCTAGAATAAACTCTCCCCCCCCCTCTATACTTTTAATATTTCAAAAATTAAGTTTTAAAAAAGTCCTCCCATGTAAAGCCTGAATCCAATACCAGAATCTCAAGGTCTTGGAGGATAAATAGTTATACAGAGCTTCATTCATCCTCTTTGGACCCAATACATACTTATACAGAGCTTCATTCATCCTCTTTGGACCCAATAAATACTTATACAGAGCTTCATTCATCCTCTTTGGACCCAATAAATAATCTTAACATTTTTAGTTTAGGTGAAAACTAGAATTTATTTTTATTTGACAAATTATTTTTAAAAAAAATTAAACAAAAAAACGCATTTAATGTTATTTATGAATTTGCTACGAAAAAAAGTTTTCATTCTTGTATTAAAATTTTGACTTCAACTTTCCTTTTTCTTTTATTTCGTTTGCAAATATTTTATGAATCATTTGCATATCTGCTAAAAATGCAAAGTTTAAAAAAAATAAAATGTTTCAGGCTATCCGCTATAGTCGGAAAAGTAAAAATTATAAAACTTGACAGACAAAAATTAAAGGAAAATATTTGAAATCAAAACCAAAAATAATTGCTTAAAAATAAAGTTTACGTTTGTCTTCTGTAAAAGTTTGCTTTTTATTAAACTGTGAACATTTTTGATAAAAAGGAAATAATTACCCAAAAATCAATTATTTCAGAGTACAGTTTTTTTCAGATTTTTGTGAAATCTTTTAAAAGTAGAAAACCTTAACGTTTTTTTTTGAACAAATGAAGTTATTTTCCATATTTGTAATTAAAAAAAGAGGATTCTGAAAATGTCAGTTTTCTTTTTTTTCTTAACAAAAATATTTTTTTTTAAATAAAAAAATTGGTTAAAATTATTCCAGAAAGTATCCGGTGCTTAGTTGAGAAATACTTATTTAAAAAATTATTATTATTTCAAGAATTCCAAATAATCATTATTACTTGCATGAATGAAAGTTTCGTATACGCTGAAGAAACATGGGAATTAAAGATTTACAATTTAAAGATTTTTTTTGCAAAACAATCTCTTAGAATTTTCAAAACTGAATTTGTTTCTCCAAAGTTAGACCTGTTAATGTGATCATTGTTTGTACTTTGTTAAAATTGTGAGACTGTTTTGACTGTAGAGTATAAAACATCATAGACAAATGATAAACGAAGAGTTGACACCATTTCTATGATGTAAATAGTATTTTCGCCAGTTGCCAACTTCCCATCTGTGCAATTTCCCAGCAGGCAACTTCCCAACTGTGCAAATTGTGAGACTGTTTTGACTGTAGAGTATAAAACATCATAGACAAATGATAAACGAAGAGTTGACACCATTTCTATGATGTAAATAGTATTTTCGCCAGCTGCCAACTTCCCAACTGTGCAATTTCCCAGCAGGCAACTTCCCAACTGTGCAAATTCCCAAGCGGCAACTTCCCAAGTTTATCCTAGCCGCAGCACTCAACCCCCTAGCTTAGTCCATAATGCAGAATGCGGTTTAACCAACCCCTTGGGAAATTGCACACTTGAGAATGCCTTTAGAAAATACCTAACACCATTTTTATACACATTACACAGAATTGCTTGGAAGGTTCACTGTGTACATCACAATATCAAAGGTTCACTGTGTACATCACAATATCAAAACTACCAATAAACCAAACCATGCAATTTCGCTGGGTTAGTTAATTGTTTACAAATTAAGCCCTAACTCTTCGTTTTCATTTCTCCATGGTAAACATGTAGATATATTGTACATAAATGTACTAGTAGTTGTACACACCATAACCTGTACAGCCAAATTCATGTTCGTGTACAGTTTACATTTTGCATTCTGATATTAATATTTTGTGCAAATTGGTATTGCACTTGTAAAATAAGAAGATATAAATAAAAATACTCATGTAGTTTATTCATTTCTTGTAGATTTTATTGAAAAACTTCCAATACTTATTACAGTGATAACCAGAAAACTCTCAAATAGGAAGACGACTTTTAAGTTTAAATTAGGACTTAAACTAGTTCAATGAACATTGACATAGCAATTGTACAGTGTACTTAGACCCTTTTCACTTAAATAGTGCTTAGCTAAGTTGCTAGTAAAAATATTAGCTTTGTAACAACATCAAAACGGCAACGCTTAAGTATTGCTATAATGTCGTCTTCCTATCCATTTTTTTCTGGTTATCACTGTAGTAAAAAGTAAAAGGCTACCATAGGACTCAGTCCTAAAAGTGGACAGGATCGGATAGAACTTTACATCACATTCAAGCCTGCTATGGTCGGCAGTTCCTGGCTCTTCATGGCTCACAACTCCGGCTCATCAAAAAAACCTTTAAAACAAAAATCTCAAAAACTTTCATAGTCCTCACAATTCTTTTTCCAGGCTTTCCAAAAGTGATCATCCTAGTGTTTATGTTTCTCATTGAACTTCATATGGAATAATTAATATGAGAAAAACCAAAATTAAAAATAAAAATATCAAGAATAAAAAAAAAATTTAAAGACTTTCATTTTATGCTTATTTAAATCTTTTTCAAACAAAATCATAAATTTAAATAGCCTTAAAACTATTTAGAGAACATTACCTTTGTATGATACTGATTACAATTACAGGATTTTTTAACATCTATTTTTTTTTTCTTTGGATGAAGCACCATTTTAAAAGCAGGACTAAAATCCTGAATGGTTTTTGCAAAATGATCTGATCAAGAAAAGGGGGGGGGTCAATTCCCCTTCTACTCTTCTTCCATCGTAAATATATATTCAGGGTGAACCACGAAACATGCAGTAGCAAGAAGATTTGAAAGTCGTCTTGGATATTTGAATTTATTTGAGACATTGAGTAGTCAAGGTGGTGTATTTTTCGACCTACGCAAATCCGCTTTACTTCGCTTCTGACATACGCCAAATTCGCTATACTACCCATCCGACCTACTAGCACGTGATTTTAAAGCTGTTATATGGACTTGTGGCCGCAGCGCTCGGCCCCCTAGCCTCAGCGCTCGGTCCAGAAATTGTCGAAAAGTTAGGTGGTCGGAAATTCAGTGGGTGGAATGTTGCGTAAGACGATGTAACATTACCGTCGTGAACCTTCTTTAACATAATTCTTGAAACAATAATCACAAAATTCTTCTAGTCCTGGGATTTCCAAAATGAGGTCTGAGCTGGGAACTTTTGAATGGTGGATATCGGGATTAATACTTGATCACTTTTTCTTTATCTCGAGATTAAAAAATGCTTGTTCTCCTCATGTTATTAATCTCCAGAGCTTGGAACTTTAGAATGGGATACCATTAATCCCGACTGCTTAACCTAATATCCAATGTGGGCACTTCTTGCTTAATCCACTCTTTTTTGGATAAAGTACAGAAAAATTAAAAACCGGTTTTTTAAAAATAAGAGTCCTTCCCATTTCTGTTATATTAATCTTAAATGGCGCGCAAAATTTTAAATTTCCCGGCTTCTGATAAGCGACTCTAATTGGTTGAATTTTATACACTTTCCAGGATACAAATACAAGATTAAGTTAGTCTTGAGATTAAGGAAACGAAAGGATTAAGCATTAATCTCGATATCCACCATTCTAAAGTTCCCAGCTCAGATTAATTAACCGATCGGGATTAAGGATATTATATTCTAAAGTTTTCAGCTCTGGCTCTTTTGTGCTGTCCATATTAACGAAAATGTTGAGAATTTCGTTCAAATTTCAATTTTGTTAAATAAAAACCAAAATTGTGGAAATCTGAACAAAATTCTTCATATCTCCGGTAATCTTTAAAGTTCAAAAAAGTCAGACAACATTTTGTAAATGTCAAGACTAGGGGTATTTTGTGACTGTTAACTCTAGAATTTAACTTCTAAATTTGGTTTATGAATCAAAGCCCTAAAATATTTCAAAGATTAAAGACAACTTTTAAGTCATCTTTCTACTTTCATGTTTCGCAAATAGATTCTAGTTCAATAAGATGTCAACGTAGAATTTGTACACTCACAGTCCAGCTGTATTGTGACGTCACAAGTGTCAATTTAGTTTTTGTGTCCGACAAAATTATCAATAATAGTAATAATTTTAGAATTAAGTGCTTTTTCTTACATTAAAATTAGTGTAATTTTGTGTTCTTCAGTTTCTGTTTTTACACTTTTTTATTTAATCTTGGAAAACATGTCAACTGTTGTGAGACAAATTCGTTTTCCTTGTTATATTTGTCACTTGTGACGTCATGTATATAATTGGTTCATTTCTCTGATTGTACTTGATAATATATTTGATGTTTCGTGGGACACCTTATATATATTATAATATTATTACATTATATATATATTTTATATACAATATATATATATATATATATATATATATATATATATGCAAAGATTGATTAGAAACTCTATCCTCTCTAGAAAGACAGGTTTTCAGTGTTTAGTATTTACACAAGAAACTAATTATCAGGATAACCCTGGAGAAGGGAAAATATACAATATACATACAGTGTATCCCAAAAAAACTCGGAATAAAGTGTCAACTAACAATTAATGTGATCCACAGTTGATAATTTGTTAATCTGCAATTATTTGACCGTACAGTGATAACCAGAAAACAATGGAATAGGAAGAAGACATTATAGAAATTTGATATTGTTACAAAGTAGATAGTTTTACCAGACACTTTCTAAATCACTAATTTATTGAAATAGGTCTGTCTGCACGGCACAATTCCTGCGTCGTAAGTAAATAAATACTTAATATTAAATATCTAGAAAAAAGATAACCATTTAAAATTATTAACTATGCCTCGTACCATTTTATTTAACAAAAGTTATAAAAAATAAATTTTAAAAAACATTGTTAAAAATAGTTTTTTAACCAAATAGAAAATGAATAATGATTCAAACTAAAATAAGGTTTGTTTACATTATATTGTTTATTCTTAATGTTTATGTTTAACTGCTACAGGTTTAGACGGATCATATGGATACACTTTAATAGGTTTAGCACTTCCAGCCTCTTTGAACATCTGCTCATCCATAGCTCGTCTAAACAATTAAAATATTTTGAAAAAAATTTCGATTTTAAAATAAAATGTTGAATTCAATTTTTTTATTTTGGGCTCATGTTAACCCCAGGGGGCCAGGGGACCCATAAGTTTCCTTAAAAGAAATTCAGAATTTGGTTCAATCGTTTAGTCAGCTATAGCTAACATATTTACATACATACATAAAAACAAATTTTTAATATATAATATATATGAGCAAGGGAGCTTTATTATAAAGAGGATTTCCACAAATTTTAAAATAGTTATGCTGTACAACACTGTTATAAGAAACATAAAATGAAATCAAATGAAACCAAATGAAACCAAATGAAACCAAATGAAACCAAATGAAACCAAATGAAATGAAATAAAATGAAATCAAATGAAACGAAACGAAATAAAATGAAATGAAATGATTTTACTAGATAAACAACTTTGGTAAAATCGTTTAAAAAATAATGGTACACAATACAAGTGCAATAATATTGAGATTCTTTTCTTTCCAGCATTTATCTTCTATATAATAAAAGAAGACATTCATATATATGTTGCGTATAGCCGGCCAAAAGGCTGGACCGATTGGACTGAAATTTTTTGTGAACACTCATGGGTTGCCAGGGGGGGAGGTGAAATAGGCAAAACAAATTGAAGTTTTTCCACACGTAACGCCGGGCTTTTCAGTTTGTATCGTATAAGATGTGTAGATTTAAAAAGTATATCTAAAAGCTGATCTACAGGGTGTTCCATAAAACATGAGTTGATGAATGTCTTCTTCCGTAATTTGTTAAGCTGTTTAATACCAAAGAAAATAATAAAAAAAATTGTACGGCAGTCAAATAGTAAAATTGATTTCGAAGTACGTTTGAAAAAAAAGATTTTAGAACGAAATAAACTGCAAGAAGTGTTTAATATCTAATACAGTATATGGAAGAAGACATTCAAAACTATTCACCAACTGTCATGTTTCGTGGAAACATCCTGTACTTTCTTTTACCTGTCTGCAATATCGCTTTGTAGCCTAAAGTTGTCTACACTCTCTCTAACAGATTCCCTAAACGCTCATTTTTAATAATGATAAAATAATATTTACTTACAGTGTGAAACAGAAAACTCTGGAATAGTAAGAAGACTTTTAGAATCTAGTTATAAATTTAAAAAGTCGAAAAGGCATAAGCTACAGCAATTGTGCAGTGTAAACAGACACATTAAACTAAATTAGTGTATTTTAAGGTGTCTAGTAAAACTTTTGTAACAACATCAAATACACCTAGGTATTGCTATAAAGTCGTCTTCCTATTTATTCGTTTTCTGGTTATCACTGTATGAAAGCAAATTATGGAAAAAATTAATTGCCATCGTTAAAGTTTGAATAATTATGGGCACTACTTTATTTCTACCTAATATTTCTTAAAAGAGAGTTTAGATAAAACATCCTCCACGAACTTTTAAAGTGCTTGCATAGCCTTGCACTTGATGTATTATGTCTAAGTATTCAACATATTCTTGATATATTATGTATAAGTATTCAACATTTTCTTGATATATTATGTATAAGTATTCAACATACTCTTGATATATTATNGACTAGGGAGTTTATACTTCAGGACTAGGGAGTTTATATTTTAGGACAAGGGAGTTTATATTTTAGGACTAGGGAGTTTATATTTTAGGACTAGGGAGTTTATAAGTTTGTATTTCAGAACTTGGGAATTTATATTTCAGGAGTTTGTCATGTCCATGTCATAGATGTGCTATAGCTTACTTGAATCCCTTCTTTTTCCCAGGAACATCGCTAGTCTTGTGTTTTATCAGCTTAGGTATATTCAACGCTGACCGAACAGCGGGAATTCTGAAAACAACGCATTTTAAATTACCGCAAAAGTTCTCACAAAAGTAAGAAAATTTTTAATCAAATTCTTACATGTTGAAAATAATAATGATAATGGAAATCAAGGCCTAGTTCAAAACAAAAATAACTGCCAAGGATGGAAATTAATGTAAAAAAGGCATTAGTAAAGTGCTTACATTTTTAAGGTATATGTCATTGTCGGCGTTGTTCAAAAAAGCCCAAAATTATAAAATCTTTACTTTTTGTAATTGTAACAAATTATACCCTTAAAGCCTTTGTCTAATCATCAATGACAGCGACCTTATTTTTCTAACTGAAAAAAGTCACGGAATTTATACTTGATTGCGTAGCTGGCATGAAGACGGTCCAGAGCGAACACTTTACAATCCCGGCACTAAACTTTGGCAGGGGCTGAAGTGGAAACATCAGGTACGTGAGAGGTGGGGAAAGATTACTCATGATTTTAATTAAGCGCGGCGTTCAGTCAAGTCAGCTGTAAAACTTGAAAAAAATCTTTCCCCACCTCTCACGCTTAATGTTTACCCTTCAGCCCGTGCCCTAAACTTTAAGCTGGAAAAATAAGAATATATCCGTCATCCTTGATCAGATAAAAGTTTATTTGTAATCATTAAGAATTAGAAGAATGTAGGCCCGTAGCGTAACTCAACATTATTTCTATAGTCATTTGATAACAAATTAGTTTTACCTAAGAACTGAAGCCTGAGTGATGGAAATCAGATTAGTCATAAACCAGTAGAAGGTTATAGCACTGAAATAATAGATTAGTCATAAACCAGTAGAAGGTTATAGCACTGAAATAATAGATTAGTCATAAACCAGTAGAAGGTTATAGCACTGAAATAATAGATTAGTCATAAACCAGTAGAAGGTTATAGCACTGAAATAGTAGATTAGTCATAAACCAGTAGAAGGTTATAGCACTGAAAAAGTAGTTTAGTTATAAACCAGTAGAAGTAGGAATAAAAGAAATAAAAAGTGAAACTTAATCTTTAGCTTTTCTCTGCTATACATCTCTAAAAGAAGGAATATAGAAACTCAGAAATCAGGAATGAAGTACACGCTGATACCGGTTTATCACTTATCCTGCTCTTAAAAAATGGAACTGGAACTTATCCTGCTCTTAAGAATGGATCTTATCCAGAGTTGGGTATAGAAAGGATATTTGTACTCCTCATATGTGTAATGTGGTGCAAAACTAAAAAAATACATGCAAAGTCGCCTACTCAATTAATTCTGGGTCTTTCTGATAATGACTGTTGTATAAACATCGAAGATTGTAGGTTGGATACTGATAGGTTACGGCACTTCAACCGTTAAAAAATGCTATGCAATAAGGTAAATAAATTAAGGCAGAGGTGACAGTGGTAATAAAAAAAAACAGTGGTATGATTGTCGCCTTTATTACTTACTTTCAATAATTAACTTAATCAGTTAATTCCGTTAAAAATCAGAAAATCTTTTACGACGATTTATGATGAAAAGAAATAACGAGAACGACAAATATACCGCTGTTTTCTGGTTAACCATGTTATTTAATCTTTAAAGATTTACCATGGGAAGTTGATAGAGAAGGGAACAAGAGCGAAAGGTAGACATGTCATTAAAACTCTTCCCACAGGTCCCATACTTTCCAGCCGGTTCCCATCTGCGCCAATTCGGACCTGTTCAGAAAATAATCATATGTCAATTTCCCATCTGCGCCAATTCGGAACTATTCAGAAAATAATTAAAGATCAACATAAAATTCAGACCTATTCCAGCAAGAGAGGGGGTGCAGAGCAACCATAAACCCCGCTAACTGACCTCTGGTGCCTTCTGTTTCGCAAAATGACCTCCCAGCCAATCAAAATCATCTCCAGGCCTAGATGCCGTGATATAAAATTTGTCTAGCTGCAATAGTTATTTGTTATTCACAAATTTAAGAATTTGTGAAATTTATGTATAAAAAATTCTTAATCTCAATTACAGGCTTTTTGATACAAATTGTTTATGTATAATTAAAATCTTTTTTCATCAAACTGAGATTTTTTGAAAAAAAAACCCAATTATTTTTATTGGAGATAAGAACGTTGGACGTGGAGACAAAGCATGAGACATGGAAATAATATTGGTTGGATGAGAGGTCATTCTGCGAATCAGGATACTGTAGAGGTCAATTCGCGGGGCTCATGGTGGCTATGCATCACCTCCCTCATCCAACAAATAATTATAGATCAACATAGAATTCAGACCAATCACTAGAAGAGAATAGCTCAACATAGAATTCAGACCTATTCACTAGAAAATCATTGATTTACATAAAATTCGTCCCTGAAAACAATTTGCTGTGAGGCTTAATCAAGACTATGCTGTCCAAGCGTGGTCACCCTGGAACCAGAAGGATATAGACCTCCTTGAGGATGCATGCTCAGAAGAGAGTTGTGAGAATGACGGCAGGACTGAAACCTGATCTTACCAAGATAAGCTGAAATAACCACTCTTACCCTCCAATCTCCATGAACCAAAGATGATACAAACTTAGAAAATACTGCACCAGTAACAAATAATAAAATCCTTTAAGCAAAACAGAAATATGACCCTAATATCACAATTATTTAAACGAATTTAAGCGTAGTTAAGAAAAGTACTCTCCAAATTTTTTTCTTTAATCAAAGAAAATTTGGGAAAAAAACACGCCGGCAACTTGACAAGTTTAATTTTTAATTTATACACCTCAATACGCCGGAGATGGGTTTACATACCTTTTTAGATACTTAGATTACAGGATGGGCGAGATTAAAGAAATAATATTAGCTTTTGTTTCTGAGCTATCAGCGAACCTTTATTTTTATTATGGTTCATGGATTTTAGAATAATCAGAAACTTTTAAAGTTGGATTTAAAAAAAAAAAATTATAAAATGGCTTTAGAAGCATAATATTTTTATTTCGACAACTATTGTGCTAAGTCCAGGGAGTGTTGAATTATTTGATTACTTTCTACCGACGACGACCTAACCTCTGGACTGTGCGGGCCACTCCAGCTATCCTCAACATGCTCCTACCTGGAGTTCTGAGGATCACCACCCAATTAACCAATTGTTATGAGAGGTTCTACAAAAAATGTGGGCCCGACGGCTCAGCCGTTTGAAGTTTAATAGATACAAACAAGCCGTAAATATTTATGTATATATATGTACCTGTAAATATATAGAAGCTGAAGTAAGGATAGGAAGAAGATAGAAGGGATCAGCCATTGTTAAATTCTCAAACCATAGAATACCCCCAACCTCCATACTTAACAGGGATTTAAACCATTAAAATCTAAACATTTCGAGAATTGGAATTTTTTTATTTATTTTACTTTTAAAGTCCTTTAAATGCTTAAAAGAAAAGAAGAAAGTTTTAAAATATGGATAAACAATATAAAATAAAAGAGGAAGGGGTCAAAACTTTCAAACCATCTTTTTTATTGGGTAATTTTAAAATTCAGATTAGGAACCTGGGAACTGGAAGATTTGCCATTCCTCGTAGTCCAAGGAACATCGACATAAAGATAGGCATCTGAACCAGGATAGGCAGCACATTCTGATAATAGGAAACTTTATAAACAAATAGTCAACGTATCTCTTCTTTAAAGAGTGCCATTATACAAAAAAAACGAGTATAGAAATGCGATCAATTTTCTGTATTGAGAATTTGAGAGCTTAAGGCCGCGTCATTTTCTTAAAAGAGACAAGAGACAAAGAGATAATGTTTTCTAACTTTTCATTTATTTCTCTGAAAAGTTTGAAACCAACCTTGATAGGATTTATTCCTGATTTCTTCATATATGCCTGGAGCTGGTTGCCAACCATAGCACTCTCCATTGTATCTCCTCGACGCCTAAACATATAATTTGAAGAAGCGTTGTTAAATGGCGCGTTGGGAGATTTAAAACTCCGACACACACCGCTAGGTTCTCAAATTTAACAGTGCAAACAAACTTCACCACATTTGCCCCCCCACTACAAATAACTTTTTGTCAGTGGTGCATGCACTGTGCAGTGTGCAGGTTTCTTAAAACTTAAAGGATTAAATGAATAAAATAAAAAGAAAAATTATGATTTCCCCCCCCTATGTTTCCCTTC